GATTTAAATTTCACGATTTAAACGTCAGTAGAAGTAGCTAAGTTATGAAAGGTCCTAAATTTTTCTAAATTATTCAATGAGACACGTCTTAAAGAAAAAATGATGCCATAATGTACGCAATATATATATATATATATATATATATATATATATATATATATATATATATATATATGTATTACCTAAGTATTATTTGCCTTAATTCATGACTGTTGCCAATGCTTTTCTTACTGATTTTCTATCTATCTATCTATCTATCTATCTATCTATCTATCTATCTATCTATCTATCTATCTATCTTCCCGTGCCATGCGATTATGTGTGACAAAGATATTCAATAAAAAAAATAGCATATTTTAAAAAAATCGTTACATGTTAAAAGTAGAGACATTTGCCCTAAAATTTTCTACCTTTTCCTGATGCTAAGTATAAGTGTCCTTTTTGCTTGCATTATCTTTTGAAATTTGTCGTTGCTTACATGTTCGGTCCATGGTATTCTCAGCATCCTTATATATATATATATAATAAAAAGGCTTAAACACTAATATTCCATGGTCATATATATTGCGTATATTATGGCATCATTTTTTCATTAAGACGTGTCTCATTGAATAATTTAGAAAAATTTAGGACATTTCATAACTTACCTACTTCTACTGACGTTTAAATCGTGAAATTTAAATCGTACAGTACATAACTTCGGCGTTTTTCAATTTACAGGTAAAATATTTAACTTTCAGATGAACACAACAATTTTGTCTTAGAAAAATAATGAACCAAAAACAACACCTGATGATGACATTGTGCTAATGTCGAAAGTACTCGGAATAAATGAATGTGTATCAGCATGGTAAGAAGTTTGTCCCTGAATATGAGAGGATCCTGTTAAAAATAAATAGTCAAAACTTGTCTAAATTATTCAATGAGACATCCCTTTATATTCATATATATATATATATATATATATATTATGAAATGGATTACGTCCGACAATTAATTAATACATTATCTGTTTGTACGCTATTTTAATACACAATTTGTTTAAGTAAAGGCTTTTTTTTTAAATAAACAGTATTAATTACATTTACCTGCCTGAATGTTCGAGAAATTTAGTAGAAAATATGCGTTTCCCGACAGGAATCGAACCTGTGTCCTATACGCCACAGTTAATTGATCTTGTGTGCTATACTACTCAGCAACGAAGTTTCTCGAACATTCAGGCTGGTAAATGTAATACTGTTTATTTGAAAAAAAACAGATCATTTACTTAAATAAAGTGTATCTATAAAAAATAAAAGTACAAACAGATATATATATATATATATATATATATATATATATATATATATATATATATATATATATATATATATATATATATATATAATAATATATATATTCTATAATAAACAAATAATAAAGCAAATAATACTAATTAGTATGATACTGTGAAAATATTAGGAACTTCACATTGGTTTTATTTGCCTTTTTGTTTAAATTCTTGTATATAACTAATTTTTCATAGTTTTTGTATATAATTAAAGTGAAATGAAGCATAACAACTAGAATTTAAAAATGCATTTCCTTGCTTTTTATCTGTTTGGCTTACACGTTCGTGCAAACTTTTCCCGCCGTTTAAAAGCTAAAAAAATTCTTCCCGTCTTTATTACAACTTCTTATAGGCCAGCTCCAAAGTTCATTAAGAAGGTAACAGCTTTGTTTGTTTTTTTTTTGTTTTTTTGTTTTTTTTTGCTACTCCTTTGATAAGTCCTAAAGGGCAAGAGGTTTATCCAAATGCAAATTCACCCACTCTCTTGTATATCATTCACCGTGGAATGCCAGGTGCAAGAGAGTTACATAAAGAATTATTCTGTTAAAATAAAATAAAAATTTCAAAATAAAAATACTCCACAAGAAAATGCTTTTAAATATGCAAGAGAGTTCAACGGCTAATTGCTTTTGACAGATTCTTTCGTGTAAGTCAGAAACAATAATAGACAAAACAGAATCCAATGATTGCATTACTATCTTATCTCTTCCGGCCAATGAGGGGAAGTGATCATTTTCTTAAGGGAGATAAATCTTCCAAACTAGCGTTAATTTATCATTTCATTAACAAAAAAAGTTATTTTCAAAAGGCTGAACCAGTCGTTGAAATGTTTCATAAAACCTTTAATTGTTGAGATAGTTCTTTTAATGAAAACATTACTAAACGGTTGCAGTGCTATTAAAGACAATTATTCAATCAGTCCTTTTAATGACAATTATTCAATCAGTTCTTTTAATGACTATTATTCAATCAGTTCTTTTAATGACAATTATTCAGTGAGTTTTTTTATGACAATTATTCAATCAGTTCTTTTAATGACTATTATTCAAATAGTTCCTTTAATTAAAATTATTCAAGCAGTTATTTTAATGAAAATATCTTTTTTTAATTATCGAAGCAAATAATAAGAACATTCTAATAAGAACATTTCTAACTACTGTCACATTACTTTTAATGAAAATTATTGAAGCCACTCTTTTATTGTAAATATCTAAGTCCTGGGTATGACAATGAACTACATCAGTCAGCAAGACCACTGATCAAGAGGGTGAAGGTTTTAAGGAGCCTGAAACCACATCTTAGTTGCTGTTGTTACCAGATCCACTTTGACCTGGTGTGCTAGCACCTGTTAAGGTCTCAGCTACCAGCCAATCTACCCTAAACAAAAACAAAACACTATAAAAGTATAAGAGTTGATTATACATGTGTTATTGCCATCTATTGACCAGGAGTTCAATCCTTGAATCTGGTAGTGACGCACCAATTCATCAGGAACGAACAATACCACAGGGACAAGATATCACAATAATCAACAGATATCCCATATCAGCAAATCAATAGACACCTGATGATGACCAGAAGATACTTGGTCGAAACGTTGTGTCTATAATGACATCTATATCAACCAAGATGAGAACAATAGTTTGAAATAATACAAGTAGATAGTATCACCTATCGATTGGTTCACATTTATTCCCCGTCTTTTGAACAGGAGTAGAGGTTTCTTTCCTGTTCAGGATTGGGTTTTCAATTCCTTCTTCAAAAGTCTTCTCATTTTCTTTCACTTCCTTGCATTTTAGTGTCATTATCGCCTTGCTTGGGGTGAAATGATAAAAAAAAAGAATATTGGCAATTAAACATCTCAGAAATGAAATACTAGAAGAATGATCTGTTGTTCTTGTTGAAACTGTGATTCCTCTGCGCTTCCTCTGCGTTCTGTTCTTAAAGAATGTTGAAAAGTGGCGACAGGTAGGCGTAGAATTGTGATCGTCTTTCCGGCTTTTTATGAGTAGATACCCCAAACATGTGAATATTATTCGTAATGTTAACAATCCGTTGTTTAATAAAACCACTCATTAAGATGGTTGGTTTCACGTCGTTCCGATGCGTCCTGTCTAGCCGATATCTTAACACTGCTGTTGAAAGACTTCGGCAGTGGAAATTTATGGGTAAGTCATGAGCTCAAGAAATTTGTGGGCGAATTTTCCTCCTAATTTCTTTTTCTCTATTTTCTTCGTAATTTCATTTTTTATATATATATATATATATATATATATATATATATATATATATATATATAATTTAATTTTATCATTTTCAGACAATACTTCACAAGGTTGTCCTCAGATACATCCACAAAATGAAATACGACAAGAAAGGTGACGTTGTTCGAGACGGTAAGTATTTTGTCATTTCGAAAAAAAAAGTTAAAATATTCCGAGGACACTCAAACCGTGCAACAGCACGCATATGGCTCATGTATATAGGTAACCAAAAAAAAGTCCTTGCCATTTGTTACGCCGTGTGGGAAGAAGTGACCACTAATACGCAAATGAGTGCGTCGCGTGCCGGGAAATCAGTGGGTGGGAGCGAGGCATTGCACATAGAGGGGCGTTGTGCACAGACACCAGTGATAGCTCAAGCAACGACGAGGAAACATGGCGGTGTCGAAGCAGCTCATGAGGAGTTGTCTGCTTTATGCCTTTAATATAGGCTTGTCTGCAGCCACATCAAGACGCCGAAGATGTCAAATCTTTTGGGATAATGCTGTGAGAGGATGCACCGCCAGGCATTGTTCTTTTGTGATGTACCCCGCATTGGCCGGGCACATGTCCTGGATGATAAGGCCCTGAATGCGGCCATAGAGGCGGACAACAGCCAAACATATGGTGAGCTTGCCGAACGCTTCCAAGTTTCTAATGGAACAGTCAAACATCACCGCATAGCGCAAGTGGGTACCCCACTGCGTGTGGGGTACCCACTTGCTCAACTTGTACCCCCAAGCCAACAAGTAACAACGTGTGACAACCTATTTCTCGTTGATTTTTCGGCACTACAACGTGCCGATATTTGATCGAATGCCCACCAATGACGAAAAGTGGGTCCTGTATGACACTCCCAAGCATGACATTAGTTGCCACCACGGGACACTGCGTCTCACACCAGAAGACCATCTATACAACTATGCAAGATCTATCTGGTAGACTAGCCGACAAGTGGTGTACTATGAACTGCTACTAATGAGAGAAACCATCACTGTGGATCTGTACTCACAGCGTTTGGAACGTGTGTAACAGGCACTGAAACAGGAGCAGTATTGTTCCTCCATGAAAATACCAGGTCTCATGCGGCGCGGGTGGCCAGGGATATCATACGGTGACTTGGCTGGGAGACACTGGGCTATCCACCTTACTTCCGACCTTGCATCAATAGATTACCATCTCTTCCATTTCCTGGAAAAACCATCTTCGTGGGAAATTCTTCACAAATGAGAGACTTGCAGCAGGCACTCACAGACTTCTTTGCGTCCACAACATCTTATTTTTACCGTCAGGACATTGCGCAGCTGAAGGCACGTTAGCAAAAGGTTCTGTATGCCGATTAGGATCACTTTCAGGACTAACGGTATCTTAAATTTTCTGTACACCATTTTTTACTAATAAATAATAAATGGCAAGGACTATTTTGGTTACTTTATAATTTACTGAAAAAAAAAACTCAAGAATCTTTTCCTGTTCTACCTAGATTAAGGCCATAATTATGGGGTACCTAGTATTTCTACTAATCCCTAACTAGGTGGTGTTAAATGATCTTTTGAATATAAATACTTAAAATTTTGAAAAAAATGCTTTTTGAAATAAACTGTGGGTATTTGTCAAGTTACTTCCTATTTACAGAATTTATTTGATAACAATTTTAAAGTAAATAAACAAACAAAACTATTCTGTAATTAGCCAAACTCCAAACTACATTTAAAACTTAAAGTTAGCTTTACGCGTGCTACTGCTAATCACTAACCAGCAGGAGTCTTGTGTTAAATGATTTTTTAACAAACATACTTCAAATTTATGAAAAATAGTTTTCGCAATAACGTGTGGAAATATTCATAATGAAAGAGGGAAAAAACATAAAAATTAATAAACATTTCCTAAAGTATACCAATGAAATAATGATACGAATATTTTTTAATAAGAAAATATTATACTTATAAAAAGATTTCCTGGTGTTATTTAGCAGATTAGTACATTGTGTTAAAACTGTATGCTTATATAATAATTTTTCAGGAATTACGAGCTTTTTGTTTTGTAATATTTATGCCGCACGCACCCTGTAAGAATGAATGAAGATCATTATATAAAGAAATAAAAGGGTACAAATGAAAAGATATAAAATTGATAAGATTATTGCATTTCGCTGAAGCAGACATTACACGCATGAGAGCGTTATCGCTTCCTCTAGCTTCCGTTTCTTTATTTTATTATTATTATTTTGATTATTATTTCCTTTTCTCACTAAAAGCAAACAGGTCCTCATATATTTTTCTCCAATATTTGATCTCAGTCAAAACGGAATAATCCACTATTTTTTAATAATTTCACTTCAAGCAAGGCGATAAAGCCTCTAAGACGCAAGGGGGGTTAGTGAACGAAACTGGAAAAAACGTTATTGAGGAGAAAGTACAATGAAAAGAACAGGATTCAAAAAGAAAGAAAATGACTTTTGAAGTTGCATTTAAATTTTTGAAGAACGCAGTTTTGACATGAGAGTTCCACGGGTGAAAACTGCGTAAGAAGAAACTATAAGAATAGAACTTACGGTTACATCTAGCAATTTTGACAGCAAAATATTGAGGCCAAGATGCCAATCTGTTACTCATGTTTAAAATTCATGAAGTCAAAAGTGTCAAAGGGGAAAGTTCATCATATCTGAACGTGTAACGCTCGTGTTGACTTCATAATTTACGTACGAACAAGCAGAATTATATTATCATAATTTATCTTTTCACCCTAAGCAAGGCGATAAAGCTACTAAGCTGCAAGGTATATTTTACTCAAAATGAACAAACTTGATGAAACGTTATTGAGTTTTTTTCGTTTTATTGATTTGTTTTTTTACGGCTTATCAACCTTTTTCAGGTTATGTAAAGCCAGAATTTTTTTTAATTTGTAAGAAAGTTTTGGAGATAATAATGATTTACTGATAAAATTCCTACTAATTAACCCACAGCTGAGGGGGAAAAAGCAATTCATACCTTTCCCAAAGGTATTTGCACATAAGTAAATATAAGAGTGTAATTGGGCTCTCCGATTTCCAATTCTGAGCCGTTATCCATCGCACCACCCATTGATCCACGATTATAGCACACGGTATTAGCAATTGGTCACCCATCCAGATACTAACCAAACTCAACGTTGCTTAACTTCGTTGATCGTATGATAACCAATGTTTTAATGTGATATGGTTGTAAGCCCACGTTACTAAGGAGAAAGGACAATAAAAGAATAGGATTCAAGGAGTAGAGATTTATCCCCATTTTTCTAGTTCAGGATTCGATTTCCGGTTCCTTCTAAAGTTTTCTCATTTTTTTTTCACCGCCCCAGTGACCCCTTGAGTCTTAGCAGCATTATATTTAAACGTTATTTAATTTATTAAATATTAAATTAAAAACTCTCTCTTCTCTTTTTTTTTTTTCAGAAATATACGACGCCAAAGAGGAGATAATAAGCAATGTAGTGAATGTTTACAACAAGCTTAACTCCAGGATGGATGAAATTGAGTCTAATCTGATGGGGATTGAGGCAAAGATAGCATCGGGAAATATGTACTCCACAAACCAGCCAGCTGACTACTGCAGTACTGACACTATTGCGCAAGACAATAGAAGTCTACACGGCAATCAATCATTGAATCCATCACCCACTCTGAAGGAGCGACGGCCTCACCAGGAAAGCCGCCAAAATTTGCTGTCAACCAGCCGGCAGTCATTTACGACTGAGGCTCAGTGTCATTCGACAGAGGGGCAAGACTGGTGCGACCGTAGTTCAAGATTTGGCAGTTCTAAGAGTGAAGGCAGGCCGTTCAGGCCTCGAAAACAGATGGACAGTGTCACTGAGTATGAGATGTCGAGGTCCGTACCCTTGCACAACAAATATTTCAGCCACGAAGTATGATCCCGTCACTGTGGCCAGAAGTGCAACACGTCTAAAGATGAGGGCTTTAAATACAAGAAACAACAACAGCTAATAATACTTATTGCAAATGCTAAATTACTAAAGCATTTGAATAAATAATTTTTTTCAGAAATCTAAGTAAGGATATTATTATTCGGGACTGTTATCTCCCTTTGATCTGTTACAAGATATTTTTTGAGTATGGTAGCAAAAAGGGGCAACAAAGAAAGCATTAACCCCGATAATGTATTCTTTTTTTAATGAAATGAAAAAAAAAATTTTATTTACATTTTTTTTTGTTGAAGTTTTCAAAAATCTCCCCTATAGATATGAATTTTTTTCATTGATACAAAAGGGACTTTTTTGATTTGAGCACTTACGAAAGGTTTTTTTTTTTTTTTTTTTAATTGTGAATTCTTAAGTTTTCTGGCTAAAATTCAAGGTGAGTCAGTTTTTTTCAGTCAGAGCTCCGCTTCCTCTCTCAAATTCGCAGCGGAGATCATCTTTGACTGGTTTGCCTTTTTCGATGACTCTGCCCAAGGGCCGGCCGAGATCTCCGAAAAAAGGGTGCCGGCAAATGAGATGGTTTTTGACGGTTTAGTTGATCACGATGATTAAAAGAAGGAAAACGAAAAGGAAATGAGAAAACGTTGGAAACTCTGAAGGACAATAATTGTCAAAGGTCTCGGCCTGAATAATGTGTCCAAGAGTTTGAAGACGTCCTAAGCATTTTGAAAAATCCTCCCTCCAAGATTGCATGGTTATCATTATTATTATTCATAGAAGTTTTACCATAATCATCGTCTTCACCATGGAATTTCATTTTCGCTTTAAAAAATAATAATTTTAAACAGTTTAAATACAATTAGCTAATTAGCTTATTATTATTATTCAATTAGTTTTGCATAGTCATCATCATCATCATTGAATTACGTTTGCACTTTTAAAAATTCTAATTTTAAACATTTTACATAGAATTAGATTGTTATTATTATTATTATTATTATTATTATTTAGATGGTTTTGTATATTCATCATACTCATGATTTCATTTTCACTTTTAAAAATTCAATTTTTGGAAATTTTAAATTGGATTAGATAACTAGCTAAATATTATTATTATTATTATTATTATTATTATTATTATTCATAGTAGTTTTGCATAGTCATCATCATCATCATAATGGAATTTCATTTCCACCTTTAAAAATTCTAATTTTAACAATTTTAAATTGAGTTATATAATCAGCTAAATATTATTATTATTATTATTATTATTATTATTATTTCTGTTATTATTATTTCCTTTCATTTATGTTGTATTATTATCATTATCATTATTTCTGTTATTATTCTTCATAGTTTTGCCATAGTCATTGTCATCATCATTAAATTTCATTTTTGCAATTAAAAATTTTAATTTAAATAATTTTAAGTTGAATATTATTATTATTATTATTATTATTATTATTATTATTATTTTCAATTTCCCTAAGTTGTTACTTGATAAAACTCTTTGTCATGAGATAAAGGATATTTTCTTTTAGAAAGTTATTGAGCATATCACATTAAGAAAGTTTTTCTGAGTCTTGTAAGCAGTGCTTATGGAAACAATCGTTTGTATCTCATATAATGGTGGGGGGAGTGGTCCTACAATTTTCTTAATGTTCTTTTCAATTATTCTTTATGGTCATATTATTATTATTATTATTATTATTATTATTATTATTATTATCATTATCATTATTATTATTATTATATTCTTTTGCCTTCTGTTCAGCACAGATGTTTATAAGATCTGGGTTAAAGGAAAGTACTAAATCTATGCATTCTGTTTGCACACATTTTGATGTTAAGTGATACTTTTTTGCAACTCCAATTTCAAGATCCTTCTATTTACTTTGTCATATTCTTTAACAGATATATAAGTTGGCACTGCCATATCTTTGGTTATGCCATTCATATTCATATAGCTATTATTATTATTATTATTATTATTTGTACTGACTGTGCTATCACATCATTAGTAACTGATGGTTTATACTGGAGATTGAGTGACAACAAGTCTCTTTAATGTTCCATCACCCTTCTGAGTATTTGAGCTGTTTTCCATAGATGATCTTAACTCTTCCCCACATTTCTAATTCACACTCCTCCTCAGTCTTTTGAATAGGAATAGAGGTATATACCTTATTTACTGTTTAGGATTGGGTTTCTGGCTCATTCTCAATCTTTTTCACTTTCAATAGCCCCTTGCATCTTAGTGGTAGTATCACCTTGCTTGGGTTGAATTGATTAAGAAAAAAAAAAGGAGTTTGATATTGTTTGTGATTGTTGTTGTAGTTATTATTATTATTATTATTATTATTACATTGGTGTTGCATGTTGTCAATGAAAATTCTTTTCTTGAGGTATGATGTCAATAAGTCTGCTCACAATTCATTTTTTTCAAAGAGCCCTCACGCACTAACTGATGGCGGTTTTGCGGACTTCTACAATCTTGGTCTCAGTTCCAATTCTTCTTAAGCACTCTTTCAATTTTCTAGGTGGTGTTCCAAGAACATCCATTCCTACAAGAATTACTTCAGCAGTCATGTTGCATAGCTTCTTCAACTACCTAGACAAATCCTGCTAATTTTTTTCTATCTTTTCTGTTTCTTTGGAGTCCATTTTTGTATCACTTGGAACAGCAAAATCAATAATTTCACACATGCTATTCTCTTCGTCTATAACACTATGATCGGGTTTTTGTACTCCATTCATATTATCTGTCTGCACTTGCGATCAAAATATTTACATTTTTTTTGTTTTTCAAAGGAATCCTTTTACTAAATAATTTTACTAATAAGAATTTTTTTAATACTCCATCACTATTCTTGTTGTTGTTGTTTTTTTTAAATCATCATCATCATCATCATCATCATCATCATCATCATCATCATCATCATCATCAAATTAACCCCTCATGTTATTATTCTTTACAATATAATACAAACTGTTATCATAATAGTTGTTTAATCATTTATTATTATTATTATTATTATTATTATTATTATTAACAGTAGTAGTAGACATGTTGCAGCTGTTGAAATCATCATCATCATTATCATCATCATCATTTCTAACTGTTCTCTCTATTATCCCGCAACTGAAATTATGCATCATGATTAATATAATGTAAATAGAATTTCAGCAATTATTTTTATTGCCATCTTCATCATCATCATCATCATCATCATCATCATCATCATCATCATTTATATGCTATGTAGATATAAGCACTACTAATTTATTCTTTGCTACACTATTCATACACTATTCAAAGAGAGAGACACAGGTATGCATGAGTATTTTGCATATATATATATATATATATATATATATATATATATATATATATATATATATATGGGTAAGTCAAAAATTATCTGCATTTTCACCATAACATGTCTTCATATGAGTGTGAATAATTTTTGACTTTCTGTCATATATATACATATATATATATATATATATATATATATATATAGATAGATAGATAGATAGATAGAATGTCAAATTTTATTATGCAAGTCAATATTTTTTTACATTAAAATTGGTACCATCTGATGTCGGTGAAAATTTCAGAATATACTTATATGAGCAATATATTGTGTTGTGTTTCAAGTAAAGCTGACCCAGACCCTAACCCTGACTCTCGGCCTTAACCCTGCCTATCCTTATTAAAAATATGAATAATTTTTTAGAGATGTTTAGTTTTCTAATCTGATTTAAATTAGTGCAACATAAATTTTTATTCATAAATAAATCCAAAAATACAAGCCATAGGCACATATATTCAGTTAACTCTCAATATCCCATAAGCCTGATTAATTTAATACTTGATTATTTTATATTTTAATATAGAATCCTCATATTATTATATTCTAAGATATTTCTTGACTATTTCTATTAAAACCAAACCTGATCATCAAGCCATCTGCTCTATACAATGTAGATCTACATCTATTTAATTGCTACTGAGAAATCTGTTTTGTTTTTTTGTTTTTCTTTGGCCAACTTTCAGGTTTCTCTGTAAGATTTTACTTAAAGGTGTTAGTTTGATTGCTTCAATCCCATTAGACAATGATATTAGAATTCACATTTACATTCACAACACCATTTTTTCCAGATATTTTCCTGTTTATTACTCTTTTAATCTTTTTGTAGATCGTCCTTAAAGCCATTTTTTTCTCATTCTAATCTTTCCTTTCTTGTTTTCAACTTCTGTTTTCATTCTAATCATCAATATTCCAGCACTCTACTCAGTAATGTAGTTAATTCTTCCTCAAATTTTGGTATTAATCCCAAACATTTTGCAATTTCCAATATTATATTCTTATTATTTGCTAACTTTATATCTTCTTTCTTTTTTTTTTTGAAGTTTCATATGACCTATCATAATCTTTATATGTCTGCAATAAAAGATATATATATTAATAACTCTACAATTACATACGCTGATTTACAATATGATGAACAACTCTTAAGTTAAAAATAGCAAAATCTTAAATCATTTTGTGAATATTTCTATAAAAATATATATTACAAGCTGAAATTTCCATGTTTTATCATTAAAATATATCTTGATAAGTTTAGCAACATCCTTGCATCAATTTTAGTGCAAAAACAATAAATTGCATGATAAAACCTTTATTTATTGTTGTCATTTTGCTACTTTATATGAGCATTTTCAAAACACAAATGAAAGCCCTAAAAAAAGCTTTTACCATGTTTAATACCAAGTGGTGATAGTCTGTTTCATGCTTGAAAGCTATCTTCAAGCCCCATATGTTGTGTGGTCAGGGCCAGTGTATTCTCCCACTGAACTCTCCAACTAGGATAGACCCAAGACTGTTTTTTCACTATCTTCTCAAAAATTGCTTTTTTTCACCTCTATTCATAGACATTAAAAGTTAAACTAAGCACGACTGACTATTAAAGAATGAAAACATTTTTTG